GCTGCGCTGTCAGTACGCTTCTCCATGTTTGTGATTGGTCGAATGCTCCAAATACCACCCCTTTCATGTGAACGCGCACCTAACTAGATAGGACACGGCTGGCTTGAGCGATCCACTTGATAACCAGCGTCGTAGTACAGTTTAGCGAGAGCGCGTATGTTTTGGATTAGGCCAACCGGCTAACTCAAACATATCCAGGTTAGGTTGAACCAGCTTCGTAGTATAGGCCCCTGGACTACCAAACCAACATTTTGTTTGTGTTGTTCCATTCAGAACAAAAAAATAAACTACAATGATACACTTGAGCCAAGTTGTTTCAAGCTAACACACAAACACACAACCAAATATGAAGATAAAATATATGTAGACCATACTATAACATGGATGCAAAGATAACAAAAATGCATTTTAAAATGAACACACACATATACAGTATATACACACACACACACACACACACACACACTCACAGTCCACCTGTTTCCAAACAGGCTGGTCTGGGTGGTGTGTGTGTTCTTATCTAACATGTTCTACATTAGTTTCTTTCATCAACAGTATTTGAGGCCACATTTTAACAGGGAGATAATGGGGCTGGGTGCATTGCACTGCAGTGTGTGTTGGAAATTGGTGGGAGAGAGTAAATTAATGATTGAATTCCAAGGGGTGAGCAACAACAAACAACTTTGGTTTTACAGGTTGAACTGTCAATACTGCCTTATTATTACAAAATAATGTTTAATATAATCACCCCGATCTGGACTGCTCACTCTACCAAATGACTTATGACGTTAATAAACTCCAGGTTGATCTTGTCCGACAAGTTTGACCTGACGACACCTATAACTAGTACTGCACCAGTATCCCCGGAAATGAGATAGCAGATATATCATCCACCTCTCAGTCTGTCTGGTCTAGACAAGACCTTTGCAGCAACATTTCTAAAGAAGAACAGGTTTGTGTATGTCAAACCAAACCAACCAGGTATACAGTAACGGTTGTTCAGACTAAACAAACTGTCTGAACTGGGCAAAAGAGCTTTGATTGATTTAACTGGGCAGTAAAGAATAAGCTTTATTCCACCTTATATTTGATTTGTTCACATGTCATAAATTCCACAGTTACATTTCATGATCAATTTTAAATTCCAACCTTTTTGACTCAATAACTTAAATGACCCAGACTTCAATGTGAATGTTTCTATGAAATATGAAGACCAACACTTGCCTGTGCACATTGTTGATGTCAGCGTTGATGATAATCAAGTAGCTTCCAACCACCACTGTCAGGATGTGAGCTGAGTACCTGCAGACAAGGACACACAATTAGACCATGTGCCTCATTATATGTGTTTTATATGTCTGTGACAGGATGCAGTGTGCGTCAGTGAAGCCTAGATACATTTCCCCTAGTCAAATGCCACAACAGCCATTTCTCCAGTATATCTTCTTTCTTAGCACCATTACTGTCTAAAGCCTGAGTGCCCTCTTCTAATTATAAGCATGTGACCCTACACACTGGACACCAGCGGTGTTCATTTGTCAGAAATGTAGAAAGATAATAGACAAATATAGTTAAGAACTCAGAGATCAACAGCCATTTTTTACTAAAAACATATTTGTAATCATGAGAGAAGTTGAATGGAGTACTACAGTATGTGAGCATATACTCTGACATTACCATCCAAAGCAGAAGATGAGAAAGACAATGCCAAGAAGAGTGGCCACAGCGTGCCTGACCAGGGGATTGGCATGGCTAGGACTGAGGTAGAGACGAAACCAGAAGGCAGCAGCCAGGGCAAACAGCTGACACGCCAGAAAATTCACCTGTGTGGGAGACATAGATACTAGTTTGTGTATTTATATAAAATTGTTTTTAATAGCTGACAGAAAACTCCTGTGGGAACAGCATAATGCAAGGATTGTAATGTTGTTTCATCCTCCTCATTAGTAGTGTATCAATACTATAAGGACGTATATTTCTGCTGTGATTTGTGAAATATTAAATAGTCGAAGATAAATGTTAAGAAGCTTATTTATTTTTGTAAACTTTGCCATGCAGGTCTTTTGTTTGTAAATTTCATTTTTGGAGAAACATAATCACCAAAAATCATTATCTCCAGCATTGCAAATAAATTCCGATGTGGGCGTCACTGATGAGGAATCACTGCCAGTCTCTCTACCAAGTGACACGACGTTAATTGATAGACCAGTAATACATACTTTTTTCACAACATATATTTGGAAATTTAGAAATGTTAACTCTGACTCTAAAAATAACTGTTTTTCATGGACAGGTAGCCTACTCTTCTTACCTGATCCAGAGGAAAGCCCAATAGTTCACTGACAGGCAGCAGCCACTTGGAGCCAGTCGTTTTAAACCTGGTGTCCTCGCCCTCGCCCATCCTACGTGTTTTTTTCTGTTACGAAGCCTCTATGTTATCGACTTGTTCTATGTTGTTTAGCAAACTACTTGCTATTTTATGTCACAAAAATACATTGTTTGCCCGAAAGGCTCGCAACAAGTCAGCCAAGTCCACAGAGTGACACTCCCGACTCTCCCTCAGACTCAGTACCAGTCAAGTCAAACAATAATAATACAAACTTCCGGTCATTGCTTTCAAAATAAAAGCCGTGTCGACGAACGTTGGAAATAAGATAACAAGATTCAGGTTTAGCCTACAGTATTTTTCTGCAGGAATAAACCGGTTCTGCGTACTTGTTTTAGCCCACACTCTACTCATAGACATTCCACCTCAAAATGCAACGTTTGAATTATAATTATCACGCATATTTGGTTTTGTGTAGGAACCCCCCTCCCTTTAAAAGTGGAAGAGTAGGCTATTGTGTTTTTCTCTAAAAATTACATAAACTGCATCGTTGGTGAAATGTGTTTAAAGGGAACCATCTGCCTATTGTTGTAGGCAGCGTTTTAAAGTACTTTGGAACGTTAAATATATGCCTTTGAAAGTCATATTATTCTACTTCCGGCGTTATTCAGGCTCTCTCTTTAGCTTGGATCAATATTTGATGGCAAAGTTGGAGCAGTGGCCCTGACCCCCGCCCTTATTTACGGGCTCATGATGAAAAAAAAAATAAGCCATCTCATTAATAAAAAGATCAAGAAATAATGAACAAGTGTTTGGATAGTTTATTCAAAGACAATACTTATCATTTGTTGTGCTCTGTTTTAACTTGTGTTTACCTAAAGTATATACAAGTGATGCCACAAGGGAGAATCTTTCACATTCTGAAAAAAAAGAATGATAAATCATCTATTGCTTTATAAAACATTAGATATGAGGTAGCCAATATCTTATGAAGCATTATGTGTGTTTGAAGAAAGTAAGAATATAATAGTTCTTTATTGTCATTGTGATTACATGTAGCACAATGACAGTTAGTTTAGCTAGCTCTCAGCAGTATGACACATACATTTACAAGCATATGAGCAAATTATATTGGTATAAAGGTCATCTTTAGTACTAACCTTTCTTTTCATATGAGGCCATGCCACGGCTTGCATGGCCAGTGTGGGAAATAATATGTATTAGTTATTGTGCAGTCGTTGTTATATCCAGAATGTCAAGCTTTGTCGGTATCTGCCATGAAATATGAGCTCTGTTGCAAGGGGTTAGTTCAAGGATGACATTTAAAGTGAGGCACCACATACAAACAGAATTAAATGTTAGCCTTTCCTAAAAATGAACAATTGATGTGGCATTGAATAGATTGCCATGAGTTTGTATCTCCTCTTGCTGTGAGGTCAGAGGTCAGGATCAGCTACAAAAACATCCTGGTAAAGCCCTATACCTTTTGAAATAACAGTTCAGTGTCTTTATTCAATTGATGGGTTATATATCGTATTGTCAGTTGTTTGGTAACGTTTTGTTAATAAAAACACAGATGCTTTTATATATTGCTTTTTGTGAGTCTTCTATACAGTTTGACCAGGTCCCTGCAGGCCGACTCTTCCAATGTAAAACATTTAAATACAATAAAATACCTATCAGGACTAAGGTGCCCTTCTGATGAGTTCATGTAATATTTGTTGTCAAAGCTATTCTTACACACAAGTTACATTTGCTTAAGTTCAACAATGCACTTGATATGTTCTATGCTGAACATTTGGCAACTTGACCAGAAACAAATAATGAAAAATGCTAATGTTTTAATAAACATGCTCTGAATGAAATTAAAGGAATCAATGTCAATGTACATGTTTACCTCATTTAGCTTTGTTGTCCTTGTCTTGAGCTGTTATCTAAGGTTCTTTGAAGGTAACAAAACAGAGTCAAACATCTTGTATTGTTCACACTTGTTTAGCAAATAATGTTGATTCTGAATTAGGCTTTCATATAGAATTAAATACAATGACAGCAACCTAAGAGGTATATTGAGGGTATGTAATGCCCTAAAATAATTGTGTCACTCTGAATAGAGTTGAGAAAGGGTGCCGTGCCGATCACCACGGGCTGAAAATATCCCTCCAGCCCTGTCTCGTCAGCACAATTGGTCGCTTGCGCCACTTAGCGTCCTGTCAGGGAACACACAAGGCGTGACAGGTGACGCTGCCTGTTTACAACTGCCAATGAACACGTGGCGCGCAAGATATTGAGCTGTCATTGGCCGATCCGGCTGTAATATGGGTGGGGACTCCTCTCTGAAGAACCAATAGCGTCTGACAAGTAAATTCTGTTTAAAAATTTGCCGGGAAATCTGAGTTTCGCGGGAGGGCTCTTGAGCGCGTAAACCGTATCCCTTCATTCATCAGGCCGTTTCCTGAAGCCATTTCTAGACGGGGGAACCGAGAGTTGTGCTACTTTTTAATCCGTTGCATCTGCCTAAATGCACCATCTTGAGGAAAAATACTTTACAAAAGTCGATCAATCAGACTTTCATCTTTACTTTGCTCTGATTATTTTTGTAACTATTGCGGAGGATTAGCAGATATACGGGCTTGAAAGTACAGAGACAAGAAAGGGGTTACCCCGAATACGCAAGATGAGAAGAGGGATCTCCTCGGCTCCGGACAAAGTGATTTTAGCGGGGGTTGGGGGCTCTCATTTGGACAATAATATAATTTTAACAACTCTCACGGATCGTTTAAACCCCAGTCAAGCCAACGCTACCTATATCCAAATAATAACCACCCCACCGCCTTGCAACGTTACACAGACATCAAATGTGTGTTTATTGGATCCTTCGATAAACAACATTTACACAACTCCACAACAAGCTGCAGCAAACGGAGCAGGACAACGACCCGCTCTGGGGAGACCGCCGGTAATAATCTATACAGCTCGTTTTAACATATAACGCTTGCTACAACTAGCCACAAACACGACAAAATGTTAGCTTGCTAGGCTAGCCGAGCTTGTTGTTCAGGCAGCTAACATTAGCTGCTTAGCCAGAGCATTGCCTTAACCTAGCGAGGTGGCTAACTAACTACCGCTAGCTAAGTTGCCCAAGTGGGTTAGTTATGTGTTATGTTGACTGTTTTAAAGCACACGTCGAGTTTAAGTTTGTTATACATATACAGAAACGTTTACAAGTCGTGCTATGCTAACTTCATGGTGCTTTTGAGTCCGCTTCACCCTTGCAGGCAGATGGAAATATTGGAAGGAGATGAGTAACGTTAGCGATGGCCTAGTGGCTGCTGTTGGTGCCCTAATTTGGGGGTTGGGGGATTGTTGGGCTGCTTGGCTTTTAGTTAGCTAAATGTTAGCTTTCTGACAGGACACGAGGCGCTAAACTTTGGAAATAAATGGGATTAAACTTGGCTAAAGCTTCAGTTCAATTTAAAACTACTCGATAGACATTTCTCCCAGTCGTCTCTGAAGATGCAAGCCAACTTGGATGAAGCTCTCAAACGTGTTAGCTTTCAAGGCTAGTAGCAGTATTGATTATCAAAGGACAACATAACACGATGTGGGCCTTGACTTTGTTTTTGCACAAGTGCTTCATGTCCTGCTTTTTGTAAATAAAGTGTAACACTTCTTTTAATGCCAAGTAAAGTGAAACTCGAGTTTGTTGCTGTAGAACTGATTGCACGTTTCCTGTGTTCTCAATCTGCACAACCCACACTAAATAGTTTCAGCAGCATTCAGGGTTTTGGTTTGTTCCTGGCTATTCATCTTTAAAGAACTAAACCACACTCTGTATCTCAAGCTTTAGCTATGACCAGGCAGGGGGTGAGGGGAGCTGCTTGCTGATATAAAATGGCTGACATTTTGACTGTCAACAGAGGGCATATTATTCCTTCTCAGACTTGGGCAAGATGAAATAAGTATTCAATATGAGGTTGACTATACTTTAACTCAAAATATGATTGTTAATGTAATACTTCCACATAGGTTCAAGGGGTAGACCAGCACCCGGGTACTAGTGTGTTGCTCAGACACTTGAACAGGATGGATTATGGCCAACATGGAAGTCCAATGGTTCCCTGGTTGATGAGACTATTTACTGTCATGTCACAGTAAAACATACTTGAATTCCAATTTAGGATGATGAAAGAAAAGACCTGGAAAAACTTGTGTTAGAGAAATGGTTATTATAGTCAATTCAGCTTTTTCCGTATAAATTACCTGGAATATTGAACACAGTCTACATGAGCCTAACCATGGTTATAAATACTACAGTGGTGACGAGATAGACATTAAAATGTCTACTATTGCTGAAACACACAGTGATGAACGTACCTAACCTTTGTCAGGTGACACCTGTGCTACAAAAGAAGACATTGATTCTGATGGCTTGGACATTGGAAACCTTTACTCTTGGCAAAGATTAATGTGGATTTAGGTTAATAAAACAATGGATTATACCCCAACTGTTCTTCAAAAACTGTTTTCCCTAATGGGTTAATGTGGTGCAGAAAATTACTTGTTTTTATGTTCTTTGACAGTAACCAGCTTGTAAAATATTGAAGTCAATGTGTTGATTTTGCTATCTCCTTTTTGTCTTTATACTTATATTGGTTTCCTTTGGCATTACTGTGCAGCTATGTGATCATACCCATGTACGTGACTCACTCTTAAGCTATTAGGGTTTGTCTTGGCCAATGCGATCAGAAAAGAAGAATTAAAAACCACTGGGTTTGCTCAACATCATAAACATAATTTGTGTTACACTTGCATTTTGACAAAATAATGTCTTTTAACTGCTTTATGACAATCTTTTGGACATCTCCTCCTGGGACATACAAATAAGTGGTCAAAATAAGAATGAAGTTTTGTTGTATCAACTTTTTTTACAAAAACAAAACATTAGTTTATTTACCGTGATAGCTTTAGAGTGCTGAAGATAACTGACTCATCAGATAAAAGTAATGACAGATTTAGCAACGCATACCATTTCTGGTTTCCGTGAAGATAAGATGCCTGCCAAAGGACCAAACCTGCCCTATGTGCTGTTAAAATATATATATTTGTCCCTAGGCAAAAAGGCGGTTGGCGCTCGATGATTCAGACCACCAGTACCAGTCAGAACCAACCAGGACTCCTAGAGCCCGAGGGGGCTCCGCGGTGGCCAATGGGCCACGGCTAAAAACACCCAGAAGTAAGAAACCCCCTCCCATTGTGTTTGTACATGTCACCTTGAATTTTATAGCATAATGTTTCAGGGTCATTCTGTCACAAAGTTCCATAAACAGAACCGTGTCCATGCTGTTTAAGGTCCAACTCAGGTTCTCATTCAGCGCAACAAACTGGACAGTGTGATCTGATAGACATACTCATCAATGGTTAAATTCTCACTCTAACAACAGTTTAACCCAGCCCTTGACGAGAGTAATTTCATAGTAAATGTATGAGAGTAATAAGCATTAAAACAGTACCCACAATCAAATAATTGCCTTATTGCTGTGGGCGTTGCAGTAGCATCAACGCTTCATTTTTTAGGAATACACCATCGTTTCATAGTTCTTTAGTAAAGTAGTAGTTTTTAAAATTTGTTTTGTCATGCAACAAAATAACAATTCTTATATTATCCTTTTATTTTTCCCTGAACAACAGATAGTGGAGCTGAAATGTAAAATGCATACATATTAAAAAAAATGAAGAAGTTTCTTTGTTTTTAGTTTTGTGTCCTGTAGTCGGGGTGATGAGAGGAGCCTTGTGATCGGATTAACCTTTTTACCAACAATTTGATTTTGCTTCCTCCTTCCAAATATAATTGTTTATTAGGGAATGTATTATTACAAGTTCCTTCCAAATAAGTTTACCATTTCTAATGCTGTACTAATTGTCCTGTCTCCTTTATTTCTTTTTTCCCTCTACCATAGCCCCAAAGTCTCCACCAGAGAAGACTCGGTACGACACCTCTCTGGGCCTGTTGACAAAGAAGTTTGTGGACCTTCTTGCCCAGTCTTCTGATGGCGTCTTGGACCTCAACCTCGCCGCTGAAACTTTACAGGTATTTTCATATCCCAACAGAAAAGGCTCAGACACAAGATTCATAATTATGTAAAGAGAATCTACCTAACAGCTCATGTGGTTCTCCTAAATACTGTTCAGTGAGGCTGCCAAAAATTGTGAAGAATATTAAGCATCAGTACCAAGAAATAAGATTGGGACAAGAAAATGTATCGGGCAGTGTTTCCACCAGACCAGGGCTGAGAGGGCGTCCACCCCAAGAGCAGGGGGTGTGACGTCACGATGTGTCACGTGACTTGAATTTTGAATTGAGCTGTCCCTTTATAGATATTAGGCTTGTTTGAGACGAGCTGCGGCTCGCCTCGAAAGTAGACGAGAATAGCCGATCGCAGCCGGGGGAGGTCTCAAAAAGCTCGCCTGAAGTCGGACAGCTCGGAGTCGGCTTCTTCTTCTTCTCTCGGTTTTTTGGCGGATTGCAAACAACTTTAAGGTGTATACCGCCACCTCCGGAGTTGACTTGACTCGGTTTGCATTTATAAAGAATGCACAAATATGTTTAATCGTTAATGTCAGATATGTACTAAGTAAATACATTTGTTCCTGCTCAAGATTAGATTCAACTGTATTGTTATTGCCCATATTACAGGTACTGAGACAACGAAATGCAGTTTAGCTTCTAACCAGGTGCAACAAGCAGTAAAGTGAAAAGTAATGTACACAATCTACAGAATAAAATATAGAATGAATTGAATGATGAATAAACAGTGAGGGGTATGAATACACTAGATATCAGCCTGTGAGCAGTATGAACAGTGTGTATGAATATGCTAAGATATATAAAGTATGAAAACGGTAAGCAGTGCAAGTATAGTATAAAATATATAGATATTCATTTCATGATAAACATTGTGGAACAATGATGAAAAATGTGAATGGAAGTGGCGACGTAAAACTGACACAAAACAACAACAAACTTTTGCCGAGCCAATTGGAGAGTTTCATCAGCAGCACGGGGTAAAAACCACCAATGAGCGCTCAGCTCGAGATACCAGCGAGTCGTTTCCCATCAAGCATTTAGCTTCTGCAGCCCGTGGAGAGAAACTGCGCCGCCTCGCCGCGCCTCGCTCTCAAGGCTGCGGGCGTCTTTGTCCCGCGAGATTTCAACGTCTCATGTAGGCGAGCCTCCAGAGCAAGTCGGACAAAATGACTAACCATCATGCAACGCACTAGCAAGACGTTGATCGCAATTGCGCAGGTCTGCGTCGGTCTCGCTCGTCTCAAACAAGCCTACTATCTCTTTACGTATTAGTGATGGGAATTCCGGCTCTTTTAAGTGAGCCGGATCATTTGGCTCGGCTCACTAAAAAGAGCCGGCTCTTCATGTTACCACAGTTTACCACAAAGCCTCAGTTTCACCACTGCGAGGCTCCGGCGCTCGCAGTTCACGCGTGTGCTCCACTAGCACCGCCGGTAGTACACTTTCCGTCACAGGAACACACGCTTTGCTGGCGGCGAAAATAATCCCACTAGAATCCTTTGCCCCTCCAACAGAGGGATTTCCTTGTCCTTTTTCTTCATTTCAAGCAATAACAACTCTCGACCTTCTCTCGAATTGTTTATTTCTTTGGACACCCTCGGCTCGAGTTCAGGGCGCTCTGAGCTGAATAAGGGCGTCAAATGATGGCAAGACGCCCCCCTGGCGGAAACGCTGGTATCAGGGTCATCTCAAGTGAATATATCTGCTTAGACAGTTGAAAAAGTTGTGGATTTCTGTGTTGTTATTGCTACATTTGGTATTTTACGCAGTAATATTCACCACTGAATGAGTTACTAATGATACCATAATCCTCTTCATTTAGGTACAGAAGAGGCGGCTGTATGATATCACCAATGTACTAGAAGGCATTCACCTCATCAAGAAGAAATCAAAGAACAACATTCAGTGGATGTGAGTGGTCCCTCTGTCTCACTCTTTTTAATAGGATGTTTTGTCTACGGTTCTTTTCTTACATATTTGAACACATTCTTGTATTTTGGTTTCTCTGTGTCTCTACCTTCTCCATCTTTTGAGTAATCTAATTGTTGTAGAGTTGGAAACTTTTGAAAGTTCCAACGTTGAATAGTAAACAGGTAGCACCCACAAAGATCTTACGTACATAGTATAGAAGACTAATCTCAATTTCTGATGATTAACATGGCTCAAATAAATTGCCGAAATGGAGACTTGTCTACTTTGCCGTGGAAATCTGTGTGCTCTGGACTTTAATTAGCGTCACAAACAAATATTGGAAAGAGGAGACATCTTATAGACCTGAATCAAACTTAGTTTAGTCTCAAAAAACGTTTGAGTCTCTTGGGTTGGTGCGGCAAAAGTGTTACCATAAATGTTGACGTATAAAAAGGTTTTAAAGTGTTCCTTGGCTTGTAGAGCACAGACAGGCAGGTGGCTGCTTGCAAACTGTTGCCACATCAAAGTATTAGGATACCTGAATGTTCTAGACTTCACCCTGAAAATGTAATTACACCCTCATTTGTTCAGTAATAACTAAGAGCACATACGTTTAGGAACAGACATTAAGCCTCTGTGCTTACCGGGCATACAGTGATCAATCCTTCTGTTGGTTTTATCATGGTATACTGTTTCCGTTTCCTTTTAAATAAGGCCCATATTTGTTCATGTCTGGGATATGATGTGGTGCATAGACTTGGAGTTTGCTAAAATAAATGAAAGTCATAACAGACACCGAACTAAGAAAGGTCCAGAGAAAACCTATTGTGTTAAATTTGTCTCAAAAAGCTTTAAACATCAAACATATTTCCGTCTGCTTTTACAAAACATGTTTGTCACTCTGACCTTCTTCATTGTTGTTATTTTTACTCCACTTGTGCCTTAAAGAGGATATTTATAGGTTAAAAAGGGGAACCCTTGGGATATTTGTATCTGTTGAAAATACAATTCTGTGCTTCCGAGTTATACCCTCTGCAGTATCGGCATGCAGAACAAATATTGCACACATATTCTAACACCAATCTGGTGTAAAATGCTTTCTTTTCACTGTTCAATCTGTTGTACTAAATGTTAAAAACCAGTATGTACGTAATGAGTAATATATCAGCAAGTGAACTAGCACTAAATCTCTTTTTAATTCACTCTTTTCTCTCTCTTGCAGGGGGTGTAGTCTGTTGGAGGTAGAGGGGTCTCTGAGCCAGAGACAGATCCTAACGTCAGAAGTTTCTGCGCTGGCAGAAGAAGAGCAGAGACTCGAGCAACTCATCCAGAGATGTAGCATGGATATGAGACACATGAGCGACTTGCAAAGCAACCAGAAATATCCTTTTATTGTTTGTTGACAGGTATTCAAAAGTTTTAGCTTCTAACTTTTTTTAGTGGTTAAACCTCCTGTAACTATGTTCTCATACATCTGCAGGTAAACCAGGCTTAATTCTTTGTGTGAGGTTGTTTTCAAATCAGTTTAGACCAGAACCTAAACAGATGTGCAAGGCTTCATATTCCAACTCTGTAATTAGATAACAATCTTTGTGAAGTATTAACATGTACTGACATTATAGCATTATTTCTTTAACCTTTTCTCCACATATGCCTATGTAACATACCAAGACATCAAACAGCTTGGAAACCTCAGAGACCAGACTGTTATTGTCGTCAAAGCGCCCACAGACACCAAACTAGAAGTACCAGACCCTGATGAGGTATGTTCAAACACCAAAAAACACCAGTCTGTCATTGTTGTCTTGACTTAACTTCTGCTTCTTTCTCACTTGTCATCTGACCTATGACTTATATTTCCCCTTAAAGGGACAGTTGAACTTTTGGGGAAATTGACTTTTTACCTTGCCCAGAATATACTATGAATAATTAAGTCTTACACGGGGTCTGTGATATTCTTATCTGTATTGATAATCTAGTCTGAATGAGGTTTTCAACACAGTTAGGCAATTGTTAGGAAGGAACAACTGTTCACGGCCACACCACCTCTATTGCATCATGAAAACTTCTTTCCTTGTTGTAATTCACGTAAACAACCATTAATCAGCAGGCTTATTACTATGTTAAAACATTTGAGGGGCCTTGCATTGAACGTTAACAGTTAGTCTGCGCATGTGAGGGAATGTTACGGGGAGTGATAGGAGGCCGAGTCATGTGTGCACAATTCCAAGTTGATTTGGAATTTAGGAAAGGGAATTCTACGCCGAAAGGCATTTGCAATGTTGTATGAACCAGAATATTTTTATTGTATGTATGTTCGCAAACAATTAGTGTGTTTTTCCTGCAGTTTTATAAATGTCATTTTCGTACTTGTGTATATAAACATTGTTAAAACTTTTACAAGTTGAGGAGAAATGCAAAAGGAGTAGCTTGTTTTAAGTTCATGCTTTCATTGAAACACTCTTTATTTATTTGATCCTCCAGAGTTTGTCCATCCACCTGACCAGCACTAAGGGTCCCATAGACGTCCTTCTGTGTCCAGATGAGGAAAATGACCCTAAGAGTCCTGTAAAAAACGGCAGCACGGACATCAATGGGAACTCGCCTTTCCTCAAAGTCCTTCAAGGTTTGTCTCAGATACACAGGGATGTGCAGCAATTGTTAATGCAAATATACTTTATTGATCTTCCTTTTCTCTTTGAAGATATATAATTTGTGATTATGAAATGTATTTATTTATAACTAAATCATTTTATATATTTCTACTCAAAACAGTCTGTGACATTTTCTGCAAGGATCTTTTGCAACTGCCACTTTGTGACAAGAGAAATGTTTTTATGTTTATCACATACATCATTTTAAGAAGCTTACTTCCCATGTTGTGGAAAATGTCACAGCTGGTAATAGATGTAACTTTTGGTTTAAGCCCTGATTCACTGGCGCTTGGGATTCAAATAAATAAATAAAATAGTGTACCCTAGTGCAGCAAACACCATTATATGAAGGACTTGTTATGGTCCCTTGGGTATGCAGAGATAATAACTATTTGACTCCATTTTCTCACACAGGTCCAACCTGCACGACCACTTCTTCAATCGACTCCCTAGCTCCACCTTCTTCTTCTTCCTCGGCAGTGTCCGTCACCACTCTGTCCCCCATCTCGTCCCCTTACACCAGTCTTCTCCAGCAGACAGAAGACCAGATTCCAGCGTCCCTGGGGCCTTTCTTAAACCTCGGGCCTCCTCTTCTGGACCAGGACGACTACCTTTTAGGTTTGGGAGATGACCAGGGAATCAGCGACTTGTTTGACGCATGTGACTTTGATAAAATGCCCTCTCTTGGCCTGGATGATCTTCTGTGCAGCTAGCATTAGCTCATAAATTCAGATTACATTCATGGAAGTGTGATATAGGATCAGTGAGGGTTTGGATGCCTCTGACTGACTGTGTAGTTAGTGAAACCCATTCTTAATAGATGGAAAGGAATCATTGAAGCCTTTTTTCCATCCCAGTGGGGCAAAATGCCATCTTCTGTCATGGTGTAACGAATAAAGGGCCTTGCATGATTTCACACAAAGACACAACTGGTCAGAGTTAAGACCTATCCCTACTCTTTCTCAGCCTCTGTAAGGCCTCCTGTAGATGGGTGTTGGGGTCAATCTGAAAGTTTGTCTGTTTTTATGTATAAATAAGGATAGGAAGGATATCCACAACTCTGTATGACGTTATGTCCATGTGATATCACTGTACAGAGACGAACAAAGACAGGGCAGATCTGAAGGTAAATCCCCCACACCACCTGACATTAACACAAATATTTCGACCGTGCTCAGGAGTAATGCAGATACAAATGTGTTTACTGTTTTAAATCTTGAAGGATCCTGCAATAATGAGGATTTAACAAGCCTGTAAAATGTTGTTTTGGCAAAAAAGAAAAAGACTGGGTTGATCTGTGCATTCCCAGTGATGCATTTTATTGTCAGGTGTCAAAATTCATCCGGATGTGTTAATGCCATGTGCTGCTGGGCCTAATGCTTGCATTCTATTACACCAAGGCTCTGTGATTGAAAGCTCATGCTTCTGACTCTAAAGTAGGCATTTTGTGTGTTCAAATGTAAAACATTTTAGAAAGGAAAAATAAAACAACTATTTTGATACACGCCTTTCAGAACTACAGTTGTTATCATACGGTTAGGCAGGCTGAGCTTTTGGTCACCTGTCTTGTCTGTGTTCCTGCTCAGAAACGTGTCATTGTGCTATTTGGCCTTAAAGAGGATACAGGGATTATTATAATATCATATTCAAAAACGAGTTGGTAGTACAACGTATTAAGGGACCTTTGTTCTGTTCACCTGGTCTGCCTATTATGTACTGATCAAGTGGTTAACCTCACTTTGTGATGTTTAACGTTATGACCCCCGTGCTCACAGCACACACTAAAGCCATCATATCTGGGTGATATGGGGTCAAACCGAAACACTTGATGTACTTGTGCAAGTGTGGCCCATTAGTACACATGATATGCAAACTTGAATATCATCTCTTACTCGTTCTCTTGCTGATGCTTTGGGAAATCAGGACCCAAACATCCATTATCTTGCTGCTGTTGCTTTTGCCTACCCACCTCATCTTCATCAGCAGAAGCTGCCATACCACAACTTACCCTAATGCCCCCTCACTTAGACTGTGCTGTAAAATTATACTGTGGTTTGAGCTAATCTGTACAATTCTACTTTAAACCACTTATTGATGCAGCCTGCCTACTTGGTGTGTACTGAAAGCAGTGCAGGACACAGGATAAGTGTGCATTCGTCTTTTTAGGTTAAATAATTGTTGAATTTGATTAGATTTTAATATTCTTGAAATAACTAATATGAATGTCGCCTAGACAACAATGTGATGAAGGGCTTTTCCCCTCCATAACCAGGATATAACGACATTAAGGAAAGGAGAAAAAAGGACAAATATATCCTATTTGGTACATTTAGCAAATTCGGTGCAGCAAGCCGTGTTCCATATCAGGCTTGGGAATAATTTTGTCTAAGGCCACTGAGTCTGAACAGAAGTGAATCAAGAAAAGCCATATGGAGGTCTTGGTGAACTAAGAGCTGTCCAGATGTGTTTTTACTTTGCCGTTTGTAATGGCATTACTGGTGACTTCTAATAGTTTCTTGTCTTTAATCCCTGATAGTATCTAAACACAGACATGTTGTCTAACACCCTGGCCTCTAACCCAGAGAAACCTGCGGCCGCAGGTAATATTGCTGCTGTTAAGTGTAAACTTTTCCTGACCCGATAGATGTGCCCTTGAGAACTTGCGTGTGCAGCATGTGTGAGTTATGTCAAAGATCAAGCTTGCTAGAGTAAGCCTGCCATGTGTAAATTGATGTACAGTTTTCTAAATGTTTCAGTGCACAAGGTACTGTGGGCTACCTCTCACTTAATGTTGTACAATAGTAATAGGGCATAGAGGTATGCCATAGTGTGTATGAGTCTTTGAATTCCCTTGGGTCATAGAAATTACCCTTGTATAATTTAGATGTGATGTGGAATCACATTTTTGTCTTTGTGTGCAAGATTTTACTCAAACCCTGATTATATTGAGTATGCCTTAGCTCATTAACCAGTCTCATGCTGTCAAAATCTAAATTTGAATAACTTGGTGTGCATTTGATTGGTAGAAGTGGACAAATTGCAGTATTGCAATATTTCATTTTTTTTTTTTTCCCATAAGTTATTTAGTTTATTTTTTTTTCTGTTTGTAAAATCCAGAGCATCCCTAAAAGTAGTACACATTCAGTAATGCATACATGCCGTCATTCTTTCACGGTTGGCCTATCTGCCCTTTACTGGCCTTTAGGATGGCAATGGCTTCATACTGTTCATCACTGAACCAGGATCAGTGACTTGTGTCCTCTGCTCAAGTGTCAGGGGTTTTTTGCTTCTGTGACACCGTGTGTCCGTTTTATTTTTGGAATGATGTGAGGGAGTCTGTCCCCTTTTTTTGTGCTAATTTTGTTTTCATGGAAGTTATCGAAGCCTGTTGAAACAGCTTTTTGACTTTGTAAAAATCAAAACCCAATTCTTAACCTGAACTTCACCCATTCAGTTGGAGAAAATACAGTTTCTTAGTAAGCATAATTTTGATTAAATATTGCTGCTACTATAAGTGAATGTAAAGTTTGACTTAAATGCACATCCATGCTCTGATTGACAGAACGGTTTCCCTATAGGCATATTTATATCAGTGCATTTTTATAAGTGTTTAAATCAAGCTCAATATTTTTCCCCATTTGGTTCACTGACCGCTGTTGTACTATTTTCGATGACATTTACTTGGGTAATTATGTTTTTCCTCCATGTATTTCAAGCGACCAGAATCTGGTCCCAATGTTTTATCCACTTTTACATGATGGAAACATGATTTCTACCTTTCAATGGCTTTCTAATGGAATGTTAAAGATTTTATTGCACCGCTTAAGCTAATGTCATTGCCAGTTAGTCTGAAAAATGTGTTATGGGTAACTTACAATGACAGCTTCTTAATTTCTAATGTGTGATTCTGATGTGTGATTTGACCTTACTGAAAATTATCATTTGGCTTAATGTGGTGTTAGCTGTAGTGAGGATTGATACAGCACTGTTCCTGCTATTTTCCTAGGGTTATTCTTAGGCTGTTACCAAAAACAATATACTTATGGATAAATATTCTGTAAAGGTTATGTGAAAAGTTAACTATTTTATAGGAAAAAAATTACTAGAATTATGATATTGCTGCCTGTTTCCACTAATTACAGAAAAAAGCTGTAATATCACAACACAATTTGAATGCATGGGTGAGTATCGTGTGCTGTTGAATGTTTAAGGTAAACAGATTTGCTGTTTTTTATGTATGTTATTCAGTTATACAAGTTTTGTTAACATCTGATAAATGAGAAAGTTGAGTTGTATTAGTTTGGTTTGGGGGAGGAATACATGGAATTGTTTTTTGTACTCTGGGTGTTTGTAATTGAACATTTGAATAAAGGCAATATGAACATTCAAGTGTTTTTTTTATTATGCCTTGCTTGGTTCTAGAGACTGTTAAGATTGGGGGGCCATTATGAGACAATGGTTTGGTCCATTTGACTTTAAGCCACAATGCACCCTGTTTTTTTATATTTTAAACTAAAGCTCAACAGGCAGTAGTAGAGTAATCAGGGATTTTCACAAATATATGGAAGAGCCAACCTGTTGTCAAATATTAACCAGCTGCTCCGGGGGCATCTGGCACATTCAAATGCCACTATTCCATGCCATACACTGATCTTAATTATTGCACATATAACGAGTTTGCCTAAAGATTTTTTAACATAAAGAATAGAGAAATATTGTAAAGGACAATCAGGATTCTTACATTTCGTAAATAAGTTTTCTTATTTCTGATCGATCAGAACTTTTGTAATTTAGAATCATTCGACCCTTAATATTTGCACTTTAATTTTCTTCTCTTACATATCTCTATCTCTATACACTCACTGGCCACTTTATTAGGTATGCCTGTTCAACTGCTCGTTAACGCAAATATCTAATCAGCAAATCAATGCATTTAGGCATGTTGACATGGTGAAGACGACCTGGTGAAGTTCAAACTGATCATCAGAATGGGAAAGAAAGGTGACTTTGAACGTGGCATGGTTGTTGGTGCCAGACAGGCTTGTCTGAGTATTTCAGAAACTGCTGATCTACTGGGATTTTCACACACAAACATCTCTAGGGTTTACAGAGAATGGTCAGAAAAGAGGAAATATCCAGTGAGCAGCAATTATCTAGGTTTAAATGCCTTGTTGATGCCAGAGGTCTTGAGGAGAATGGCCAGACTGGTTCAAGATGACAGAAAGGCAACAATAACTCTAATAACCACTCATTACAACCAAGGTATGCAGAAGACCTTCTCTGAGCACACAGCAGGTGGAACCTTGAAGCAGATGGGCTACAGCAGCAGAAGACCACACCGGGTGCAACTCCTGTCAGCTAGGAACAGGAACCTGAGGCTACAATTTGGACAGGCTCACCTCAATTGGACAATAGAAGATTGGAAAAATGTTGCCTGGTCTGATGAGTCTCGATTTCTGCTGCACCATTCGGACAGTAGGGTCAGAATTAGGTGTAACCAACATGAAAGCATGGATCCGTCCTGCCTTTTATCAACGGTTCATGCTGGTGGTGTTGGTTCATGGTTTGGGCAATATTTTCTTGGCATACTTTAGGCCCCTTAGTACCAATTGAGCATCATATAAACGCCACAGCCTACCTGAGTATTGTTGCTGACCATGTCCATCCCTTTATGACCACATTGTACCCATCTTCTGATGGCTACTTCCAGCAGGATAATGCGCCATGTCACAAAGCGCAAATTATCTCCAACTGGTTTCTTGAACATGACAATGAGTTCACTGTACTCAAATGGCCTCCCCAGTCATCAGATTTCAATCCTGTATAGACCACCTTTGGTATGGTGGAACGATAGATTTGCATCATGGATATGCAGCCGACCAATCTGCAGCAACTGCGTGATGTTATCATGTCAATATGGACCAAATTCTGTAAGGAAGGTTTCCAGCACCTTGTTGAGTCTATGCCATAAAGAATCAAGGCAGTTCTGAAGGCAAAAGGGGGTCCGAACCCGGTACTAGCAAGATGAACCTAATAGAGTGGGCGGTGAGTATATATATATACACAGAGGTGGGAGAAGAACTCAGATCTTGTACTTGAGTTAGTAGAAGTATCAGAGTGTAGGAATACTCTGTTACACAGCTGAACTGAATAGGTCAATGTTCAATAACACTGCGACTACTAGAAACTCTTCTACCAGAAACTTTTCTTCCCTGATGTCGCTGACACCTGCCATCTCACTCTCTGGCGCCACCCAACGACCAGAGGCTTCTTTGCCAGTGCAGCTCCCCATTTCTGTTCTCACCAACATACACCGAAGGTTGGTGAATCAGGTTAAAAACAGAAAATACAAAACCATCTGTTTGAATTTATCAAATTTAACAGTAATTCCACGTACTCCACGGTTTATCACAAACAATCAGAGTGATAGTATATCTAACACTTAAACTGGCTTTATTAAATGTCAGGTCTTTAGCAGGTAAAACTTAATGATTTTATCGCCAAGCACAATCTGGATTTTATGTTTTTAACTGAAACTTGGTTGGACCAAAATAACAGCACAGCTGTTCTTATTGAATCAACCCCTCCCAACTTTAGTTTTATGAGTCAGGCAAGACTGCATAAGAAAGGGGGTGGAGTTGCTATTTTGTTTAATGATTTATTATTATTATCCTTATTATCAGGGTGTACCAAGAAGTCAGTCAAGTCGCTTCAGCTGATTCAAAGTGCTGCAGCTCCTGTACTAACCAGAGTTAGGAAAAGGGACCACATTACTCCTGTTCTGGCTGCCTTACACTGGCTCCCTATAGAACACAGGATAGAATTTAAAATTCTTCTTTACGCCTACAAAGCCCTTAATGGGCAGGCGCCATCTTACCTTAAAGAACTCATTATACCCTACTGTCCTACTAGGGCATTGCGTTCCAAGAATGCAGGGTTGTTGGTTGTTCCTAGAGTCTCTAAAAGTACAATGGGAGCCAGAGCCTTTTCTTATCAAGCTCCACATTTGTGGAATCAGCTTCCAGTTTGTGTTCGGGCGGCAGACACCCTATCCGTTTTTAAGAGTGCGCTTAAGACCTTCCTTTTTGATAAAGCTTATAGTTAGGGCTGATTAGATTCAGCCCCTAGTTTTGCTGATATAGGCTTAGTTTGTCGGGGGACATCTTACTTCTTCCTTCTCTCTGTCTATACCTGTGTACTCTCATGTTCCGATTAACCCAGCTTCCCCAAATTTCTTTCTTTTTGGTGTCTATATCCGGAGTCATGGATGATCCTGCGGTCCTGTGTCCTGCATCGCGAGCCCTGGATCTTGAATCGTGGCTGTGGTCCTGGATCATAGGTCCTGGATGGATATCCTCGTGGATTCATCTTCCTATTATACACACATGCATTTCCAAACATTTGGACTACCTATGTTGCAAATGTATTATCTTTTCAATTTACACACGGATTTATTTATTGCACGTCTGTCCGTCCTGGGAGAGGGATCCCTCCTCTGTTGCTCTCCCTGAGGTTTCTCCCATGTTCCCCTTTAAACTGTGGGTTTTCTCCGGAAGTTGTTCCTTGTACGATGTGAGGGTCTAAGGACAGAGGGTGTCGTATTGTCATACTGATATTCTGTACAAACTGTGAAGTCCACTGAGACAAATGTAACATTTGTGATATTGGGCTATATAAATAAACATTGATTGATTGATTGATTATTCCAATGCAATCAGACTACGAATGGAAACTTTGCTTCTTTTGAATATGTGGCCCTTAAGCTGAAATGCTCTTTGCGAGCTCTGTTCCTAAACATCTATAGACCACCCAAATACTGTGCAAGCTTTTTTGATGATTTTACCTAATTGCTGTCTATAGTGTGTATTGACTTTGACCATCTAGTCATTGTTGGTGATTTTAATATCTGTGTTGACAACCCTCAGGACAGAGGGGCTAAAGAACTGTTTTGTGTTATTGATCATTATGTACTGACTCAGCATTTGACGGGTCCGACACACAATAAGGGGCACACTGGACTTAATTGTATCATCTCTAAGCTTGTGGTGACTGATGTTGCGCTCTCAGACCATTCCTGTGTTTTATTTGAGAGCTCTATTTCTGTCCATACAAATGTTAAGAAAGAGGTAACCACTAGATAGTTAATTATCTGAAAATGCACAGGAAATGTTTGTTCAGAATTGTTCTTCCTCAATTGACCATGCTAACGTCTCAGTAAATGAGCTAGTGGACCCTTTTAATTCTAAAATAACAAATGTCATGGATACCATTGCTCCCATTAAAATAAAGGAAGTATCTGGCAAGAAAATATCTCCATGGAAAAAAGCCATGACCATGAGAATAGCAAAAACAGAGTGTAGAAAAGCTGAACGTAGGTGGAGAAAAACAAATCTCCAAGTTCACTTGGAAATATATAAAGAGAGACGCTGCATCTATAATCAGGAAATAAAAAAGGCACAACAGTCTTTCTTCTCTGACATCATTACCAACAACAACAACAACAATAACTCACGTGCCTTGTTTGCCAGTGTCAGTAGCCTCTGAATTTCTATCCACCAGGGCCTGCAATGAATTTGCCTCCTTCTTCACAGACAACATTCTGAAAATTAGACAAGCAGTCAGTGCCTCTGTACCAGGACCAGGTACAGCAAATGTTTTGTCCCTATGTTCGACTAAAATCAATTCAGACATCATGACACATTTCCGTATTATAAATGATAAAGACCTGGAGGACATTATTCAACATCTGACATCCTCCTCCTGCTGCCTCGATATTATTCCAACAGGATTTTTCAAAACTGTTTTTCATTGCATGGTCAAAGTGACAGACACATTCAATTAACCTATGGATTAACCCTCAGCCGCGTTTTTTCTCGTTTTAATGCCATTGAACACGACTTTTGATCAGAATAACAGCTAAGGTGAGACGATGTTCTGTTTTTGCTCCGTAATGCTACGTGTTTTGATGTCTGTGTTTGCTTCCCCTGTCGCAAGTTCTGATCGCTCAGTGATGATACTATACCTATATAATCTGTGGAGTCTCAGCTTTAATCGGATATCTGCAGTTACGATAAGTAATAAGGGTATCTTTATCTTGAGTTCTGTGCCAAAGTGCGTTAGCATTTTTTCGCTCAGAGGTCATTTAGATGCTTCTTATGAGACTTGTGTTTTGTTTTGGTAAAAATGGTTTGTATCGTCAGTTAGCTGAGATTCTTCCTGTTAATCTGGTATAACACATTAATAGGTTTTTAAATAGTAAGATGCAGAGGTGGTGGGAGTAAGTCCTACATGTGCAAGTCATGAGCAAGTCTCAAGTCTTGACCTACAAGTATCAAGCAAGTCCCAAGTCACTGTGGTGAGAGTCAAGCAAGTCAAGTCAAGTCATTGCTCAGGTCAAGCAAGTCAAGTCAAGTCATACAAAATGATGATGAATAAGCCCAGTTTCCGCATTTAAATCAGTTAAAAGACAGTGGTTATGAAAATGGATTCAACCCACACTATGATCTTCATTACATACACAGTTAGTCATTTGAAATCTAATTTAGACCGATGACAATCATATTAGATTCATATTAACCCTAGAACTGCAGACAATATAGCTTGGAGTCAATCAAAAAGTCTGTTCAAAAAGGCAGAATTCCAGGTAAGAAAATCATTTATGCAGTGGCGACTGGTCATTAGGGGCAGGGGCACAGCCCCAGCTAGTGTCAGCAGAAAGTATTACAAATAATTATTACAAAAAAATGCAAAAAATAAAATATATTTTAAGATCATGTTTAATCATCTGATTCATCTGTACATTGCTGTTTTAGTCTGTGTTCTTCTAATTAGTGTCTACAGTGTGTGCCTATTGAGCTGTTTAGAGCCATGTGGGACAAAACCATAGACTGTATATATATATATATATACAAAACCCGATCATGCCCCTCCCTCTCACTGTCTAAGTCAATGGTGACTGTAAAAACTACACTGTGCATGCTCAGAGTATTTTCCTATTTAATGTGTGTGGCAAAAAAATAATGACCATAGGGTCATTGAGCTGCCATCCCCACCATACGTCATCTCACATAATTCAGGGCTGATTGGCTGTAAATACGTGTGCCGCGAAAAGTGTGGTGTGTGAAGAGGAGACGAGAGAGCTGCAGTGACGCATCCTAAAACCCGGAAGTGGGTTCCCTCGACAAAAAAGCAATGAGATTTCTCCATAGGATTTTAGAAAATAGCTCCAAATAAGATCTGTGGGAAACAAACCTGTTAGATAAATGCACGTTGTTCAGAGAGAACAATTTAATATTGAAATGATAAAATTACATTTTTTGGGTATCCTTTTGTTGAACTGTCTGTTTACAATTAATTGAAGCATCAGACAAAAAAAACTTTTGAAAATAATATTATATTTTGATTTAGGTCAAAATATAATATTTGTAAACCTGAAGAGTCAGTGCCATGAACCTCACTGCAGAAGCTTATATAGACATCTAAGTTTTTTGTGCCCCACCACTTTTGTACATATAAAAACGCCACTGCATATATGGCATTTGCCATTACACATATTTAATTTAAATTTCTGTTAACACTAGAACCGCCAACAGCATCAGCACCTACATAGATATAATTTAATTTGTTCCTCTTCATAATTTCCTTATAAACTAAGTAGGACGATTTAAAACTCACTTAATTGGATTAATTTGGAAATTGCTTCAGTTTATCATAACAGATCAAAAAGTTCAGATTCATTTTACAATAAATCAAAGAATGATGCACTTCTACAAACAAAAACAACATAATTAAAACATTTAAACAAACTACTAAAAGTAGATGAACTACATTATTCAAAAGTTTACAGTACTTCTGATAATAACACAGGGGAAATAAACGAGGCATCTCTTTTCCTCTCTCTCTCCCCCTCTCCTGACAGCCCGTCAGTATCAGGGTAATCAAAATGAATCCCTTGGCGGTTCTAGTGTTCATTTACCGTTTTGTCTTCTCTTTGCAATGCTTAATCGATTTGAAACCAAGTCTAATGTAGCTTAAACTTAACGTTAGCTTTCTAGCTATCATAACACATTCACGCACCTTTCTCTGTGGGGTTTTTTGTAGTGACGAATGAAGTTGGATGTTGTGGTGGTCGTGTCACTGATCTTTATGCTGCAGACCCTGCATACTGCTGTTTTCTTCTTATTAGCGTCATCGACAAAATAATCCTTGAATCCAAACTTGACTATTTGTGGAGTAACGCTAGCCGCTGCCATGTTAACTGACACTCCTGCCGTCTAGTGGGTTGATCAGGTTTGCGCGCACAGCGCTATAATCACCCAATTACGTTTCTAAAAAACTAAATGTAATATCTCAATACAAAAACAAACGCAAATATTTCAGTCCTTTCAAGTAATCTGTCTCAAGCTTAAGTCAAGTCTCAAGTCATGAATACCAAGTCAAAGTCAAGTCAAGTCTTTTATAGTCAAGCAAGTCTCAAGTCCAAAAATATGTGACTCAAGTCCGACTCGAGTCAAGTCATGTGACTCGAGTCCCCACCTCTGTTAAGATGCCCTGAGACAGTGTCGTGAAAAAAAAGACCCGCCGAAGGGGTCTTTGGGGCTTAACAGGTTCTGCATACTATCACCTGAAGAATATATCTAGGATTAAAAGACTAATGTCACAACAGGATTTAGAAAAGCATGTCCATGCTTTTATCTTCAGCAGACTCAACTCTAGTTGAAGACTAGAGTCTTCACAGGCCTCACAAAAATATCCATTAGAAAGCTGCAGCTGATTCAGAATGCTGCTGCTCGAGTCCTCACAAACACTAAAAGAGTGGATCATATCAGTCCAGTTCTGAAGTTTTTACACTGGCTTCAGTCTACCAAAGAATTGATTTTAAAGTACTATTGCTGGTTTTTAAAGCACTAAATGGTTTTGGACCAAATTATATTAACAATCTCCTGCAGAAGTATGAACCATCCAGTCTGCTCTCTGTTACAAGAGTCCGAACTAAACATGGAGAAGCAGCGTTTAGTTTTTATGCCCCAACCATCTGGAACAAACTCCCTGAATCCTGCAGGTCAGCTGCAACTGTTAATACTTTCAAATCGAGATTAAAAACGTATCTTTTTGATGCTTCATTTGGATGAGTTGTTCAAATTCACACTGCAATATGGTTCTTATTCATGTTTTTTATACCTGTTGTGTTTATTTTATTATCTTTGCTTTTTAAATGACTGTTTTAAATGCCATTTTATAATGTGCTTCCACTGTATTTATTCTTAAATGTCTTTTATTTTATTTTGTAAAGCACTTTGGGTTGCCGTGTGCTGAATAGAATAGAATATAATTGGGAGGGATGAAACCCTCTTTAATGGTCACACATGCAGAGCACACACACAGTGAAATGTGTTCTCTGCATTTAAAAGTCCTGCATTCCAAATGTTACTCAAGTAAAAGTACAAAAGTATTAGCATCAAAATATACATAAAGTACCAAAAGTAAAAGTACTCATTATGCAGATTGGTCAATTTCAGAATATATATATGTTTTGATTACAATTATTGATGCATGCAATTGTTAATGAAGCTGGTAAAGGTGCAGCTAGTTTGAATGACTTTGCATGCTACATTGTGAATGTACTCCAGGTGTAACTAAAGTCTTATTTAGGTGTTGATTATATTTCACATCATTAATCCAAATCTGCAAAGTAACTAAAGGTTTTCAATAAATGTAGTGGAGTAAAAGTACACAATTTACCTCTGAAATGTAGTGGGGTAGAAGAACAAAGTAGCCACAAATTGAAATACTCAAGTAAAGTACCTCTAACTTGTACTTAAGTACAGTTTTGAGTACATGTATTTAGTTACTTTACACCTCTGCAATCTGCATATACACAACATCATCTGACATTAGATTGCATATACAAATGGGCAAATATGGATTTTTACAAGATTGACTGTTAAGTCAATATTTATAATTAGGGCCGGGACTTTAACGCGTTAATTAAGATTAATTAATTACACAAAAATTAACGCGTTAAAAAAATTAACGCATTTTAATCGCACTTATTTTTGCACCGCGGAACGTTTCTCACTGGATGAGTTTCAGGCGTACCGATTATACTGGAGCACCAACTAACGTTCATGACTTCAGACAACAACAAACCACAGTGAACAACAGTGGGAAATGTTGTTTTAAAAAACGGACGGATGGAAGCGTCGATAAGAGCACGGTTGTGTGCAAATTATGCAAAAAGGAATTCGCATATCACCGTAGCACATCCAGCCTCAAGTCTCACCTCAATGCAAAACATATAGCAGCTAGCGTGGAAGCTAGCGTGGACGTTAGTCTCTTTTATCGCGTTCACACCAAAAAGAACCGGTACTAAAATTAGTTCATGAGAACCTTTTTACCCCCACGAAAGTCCCTGCTAGAGAGCAGAGAGCTGCTAGAGAGCAGGGACTTTCGTACGGCTCTCTTGTGAGAAAAGAGCTATATGTCTGAATCGCTGGGCGGATTGCAAACCACGCCCCGTAAAACTCCCAAAAAGTTTTGTGAATTTTATTATCCTCGCATTAGCATTATTAGCATTAGCATTAGCCCAGCGCAGAAACGTAAAGAGACTAACTTATGGCAACACAAAATAAAACATGGGAGCGGTGGAGATGAGGAGGTGTCGGCGTTCTGGCGATTTACTCGGAAGGCTGCTGGGACTCCCTAATCCACCCCCAGGTTCAAAGAGTTCTCATGAACTAAGTTCTCATGAACCTTTGTGGGAAAAGTACTGCGGTGTGAATGCGCCTAATGGTATACTAAAATCCATGTGAAAAAAATTGCTTCTCACTGTTCTCAGGTCAAATATTTATATGCGATTAAAAATGCGATTAATTTCGATTAATTAATTACAAAGCCTCTAATTAATTAGATTAATTTTTTTAATCGAGTCCCGGCCCTATTTATAATATTTTATAACATCTTGGCTCTGCTGTAAAACACACACAGTATTCAAATTAATTCTATCCTTCATTGATTGATACATTGATTTATTAATTTTGTATAACTTTTAGCCACGACGGATGACTGCACTGTGGTAGAAAGTAAACACAGAGGAATATCACTGAGTCTCTGAGACCATATTGGCTAGTAGCCTACTACTTACATTGTTAGTAGACAGTTCAAAGGCATGATTTAAAAAAAACATTATATTATATTTACATAACAATATATATATTTATTTTTTTACCATTTAACCATACCACTGTGCCTTATTACATGCCATAACAAAACCAAAAACGATGCACTATGGTACAGTAATGATGAACTCCCATGCTGTAAAATTCGCATGTATCTAGTTTGTCCCTCATTACCCACCGTAACTACGCAAAAGTATGGCGGTCTGAGAGTTGTGACAACTGTTTTGATGGTGTAAATATTAACATTTTCTATTTCTTAGACCTCCTACCCTCTGAATTTGCATATATTTTTACTTGGAACCACATTGCGGCACAGGTAAGATATTTATATGGTATCTCAAAGGGTCTGGCTGTCCACAATAAGGGCACGTGGGTAGTGGCTAGCTACTGAGGCAGGCTAAGCTAACAGCTAGCTTGTCATGTTACACTACAGGTTGCTATGTGTCTGTCAAATTATACTTTTTCACACGTGTTTCTCATTTGTAACGTTAATCACCTAGCCTGCGCGTGCGGTTGGGTTACAGGTAAAGGTCCGAATAAAACACGACATTAAATCAGTTGGTTAGGCAACTCTAATATCACGTAGTTATTACTTTATCAATGTAGTGATAAGATAAGATGCATGATTAGTTCTGTCAACGTTACCTATAATTATGTTGCTTTTTAAGTTATGTCAACAGCAGCTGCTAGGATAGGGGGTTAAATACTAGCTAACTGATACGTTAGTTAGAAAGCCACATTCATTTTATACGACTAAGTAAGGGAGTAGCTCTAGTTTAGTTTTATTTGGTTTTTAATTGAGTTTATCTTCACTATTTGTCTTGTAAGACTTTCAAAGTACATATTGTATTTAATGATATATGTTTGCCGTATCAGAGCGGTTTGACCTAGCATTTACTAGCGAGCTAATATTTTTTTTATGTACCTTTTATTACCTGCCATTCATGTAGCTTGGTAGTTTTTTCTGTTGCACATTTTCAATTCTTACCTTGAAATAATGAAACGTTTTTGCAGTGTAGAGAAAGCAAAGCAAGTTGTACGAATTAGCAGAGCAGGTTAAGAAATATGAATTGGAAAAACCGTGTGAACTCTTTGCTAAAGTTGGTGTAAGTGACCACTTCACTTCTTAGTATAGCTGTCTGTATAGGGTTAGGCTAATCAGCTGCGTCAGTGGACACATGTGCCCTCCTCCAATAATCACAGGATGCTCTATGAATAAATCATTTAAGTATGTATTGTCTACAGTTTCAGAAATGGAACGTCATGACTTTAACATGTCTCTCAATCGAAATTACTCCTAACATCACTGTAAACGGCATTATTATAAGAAGTTTAAAGCTCGTTCTCCACAAAACCTTACATATAGGTATGTATCTAAAGTATAACAATCTGGAACTTGTTATACTTATTTCAAAATAGTTAATTATAATTTTTTTAATAAGAAAATGTTGTTATTCCTTGATTATATTTAATACATAGTCAGAAAACATACTTTGGTCTTGAGAAAACTGTGATGGGCGTTATTGATGTTTTAGTGACTGAATGTCCAATTCATTAATTGATAACATAATTGTAAAATTACTAGAAAACAAAAATAATTGTTATATTATTTAGCCATACTCCGACACATCAATGTGGTTAATTATTGTATTAAATGTATTTCTGATTATAGTTAGTCTACGCCTTTTTTAACATCCATGAGCAATTAAATGTCCCTATCACATCTGCTCATAGGTCTTGACCATATGAGAGACAGTTTCTAGAATAATGCTATGCTCACTATGTATCTATCTGATTTTCAGAGCATCATGCCATCCCCCTGTGACTCTCTGATTGACGACATTGAGGACATGGTGTCCTCTAGCGACCCCACACCTCATGAGAGACAGTCTGCTCGAAAGAGCATCATGCCGAGGTTCAGGAAGAAAAAAGAGCCTCTGAGCCAAGAGGAGCTGCACACTGATAGGTTTGTCAAATGTTTGATGTGGTGCACACAGTAGTTTAGAGTGTGACCTTAGTGTGATCTATTGCCAGTTTACAATATATTTTAGGCTGATATTGGGGAAAGTATATGCTATATTGGGGAAGTACATGCTAAATTCCCTCATTGACTACTTCAATTAGCAGTAGCTGACATCCTCGTGGATTCATCTTCTTATTACCGACACATGCATTTCCTAACATTCGGTCTATATGCTGTAAAATGTATTATCTCTTCGATTTACACACGGCATCTATTGCACGTCTGTCCGTCCTGGGAGAGGGATCCCTCCTCTGTTGCTCTCCTTGAGGTTTCTCCCATTTTTTCCCCTTTAAACTGTGGGTTTTCTCTGGAAGTTTTTCCTTGTACGATGTGAGGGTCTAAGGATAGAGGGTGTCGTTTTTCTCATACTGATATTCTGAACAATCTGTGCTGTTGTATTTGCTGTAAAGTGTCTCTACTGTAGGCTATTTTTATTATATGTACAGCACTTTGGCTCGACCAAAAATCGTTTATAAATGTGCTATATAAATAAGATTTTGATTTGATCAATTAACTGCACGTTTTAAAACCAGTCTATATTCATATTTTCTAGTGAATTCTAGTTCACGTTGAATATATGTTGAACATAATGTTTCAATAATTTCGTGTTAACACTAAAGTAATAGACAGTAACTTTGCTTTTCCACCAGAAGCTTGGTTGACTTGGACCGGTAAAGGAAAAATACTTGATATAGTCTTTTAGTCATGTGGACTGACTCGTAAGTCATTAGTTAGACAGTTATGATGACTGTCAAACTTACATGATCAGAGGCCTGTACTACGAAGCCGAATTTTCGCTTAGCGGGCTAACTTCAAGGAAAACTCGGGGTTTCCGGTCCTACGACGCTGGTTCTCTTTTTACCGGGCTAGATCTCCATGGTAACTTATGCTGAACGGCTAACCTGCTCCAGAGCAGGTTAGGTTGCAGAGATCAACTCAGTGAAAGCACTGCCTGCTGACAAATCAGAGCTCAGTGTGCGGAGTTTAAAGCGATCAAGTAATATTACAGGAGAAAGGAAATACAGTTTAAATTGCCGTTGCAGGAAAGACGGCCGGCAAAAATCACAGACTGTGAACGTGTACATTAATTGAATATCACCTCCCATCTTCAGAGCAATCTGACTATTATAACATTAGCGTTAAGAAAGCTTAATTAAATATCTGCCACAACATTAGTAACCGGATCAAAGTGACATAGTTGTTATTATGGTCCTTGGTCTTGGAATGACCTTCAATCACGCCTCAAACTGACGGCACTTGTCTCAATACCATGTTTTAAGTTGAAGTTGTCTGAGGTCCTTACCACCAGCTGCTCTTGCAGTAATAAGTAGTGTACCTTTCTTACTGTCCTAATGTGCACAATGTAGTGACTGCTTTTTTGTCTTTTGTTTTCTTAGTTATGTTCTCTGTATTTTATATGTTTGTGTTATGTGTAACGTTGCTGCCTTCTTGGCCAGGTCAGCATTGCAAATGAGATTCATCTCAATGCTTTTATCTGGTTAAATAAAAAAATAAATTACGTACAGTCCGTGGCACTGTGAGTGCAGACGTCGATGTGTCCCATTATCATTCATATCACATCATAATGTATCATATATTTCCTTATCTGAGTCAGCTTCTTGAGCCGTATCTGGACATGTTGACCGGTGAAAAAAAATCTAACTGAAACTCTGCTGCACGGTCCCCTCGTTCCTTGGAAGAGGCGGGTGGGTGGGTGTTTGTCATCTGCTGGTGGCAAACCGGAGAGAATTACAGCGAGGGAGGGATTGCAATGAATAACAGCAGCAGGAGCAAACGCTTGCCTCGGGGAGGGAGAAAAAGAGCCACAGCGGAGAATAAACAGAAGGGCAACCATGCGCGGGAAGTCTTCTTCGCTGCTTTTGTGGCAGACTACAGCGCCACTTACATGCCTGGCATATGTACTACAGCGTCTCCAGCGCTTTCGAGCGGCAATGGCCGGCGGTGGCCCAACCCCACATTCCCCTGATAGGTGGAGAGTTGGCCATATAGGCGGAGCACCACTTCTGTGACGTAGAAAATAATTCAAATCTGTATCAGTCTGTATCAGATCCATTGCAGCCCCGTTTTTAAAGATTTGGGTATGGAGGAAAAGAGAGAGGGTTGTGTTTTCTGACACTTGGTGAGTTCCCTGACACACCGGGGACACATATTCATGTATAAAATACGTACAAAAGTGCATTTTGCATGATAGGTCCCCTTTAACTTATTTGGTGACACAGAGACTGCACGAGGAAATAATAGATTGATCTTATTTGGTTATGATCGCCACAGGACCTCACATTTCAAAAATAATGATTGACAGGTAAGAGAAGAAGAAAAAAATGCACAGGTCCAACGAAAATGATTCAACCCCTATTGCACATTAGGTTTATTGGCAAAATATTTCAAAGGCTGTTTGCAATAAACAAATTCCACAACAACGGTTTAAGTAGTTCAATGAAACTAATAGTACAGTGTGCGAAAAAGCACAAGTCCTATCGCCCGGGACGTGTTATTTACAATATCGGACAAGTACATCTTTCCATTGTCCGACAGACAAGTGAAGTTTTTCGCCCATATTTATTGACAAATTATTGATATATTCAGCTTACATAAGGCAGAACTCATTCGCAAATTGTCCGTGTCCGCCATTGTTGTTTGCGACCGCTTGACGTTTCCTTCTTTGTCATGTGTGATTAGGGATGGGTACCGAGCCCCGGTATTAAACGGGCCCTGGTGCGGAATTATTAAAGACAGTGGTACCGTTAAGCTCCGACGTTATCGGTCTTTTTATCGGTTCTAGAGATATTTAAAAAATATATGTCATATGTATTATTGCTAAATAAACATTATATTGCAGTTTTAGTTTCGCCAACTCCGTTTCTAATATGCAATAAGACTACAAAATGCATCTAAGATGCATTTTCGATCTTTCCAATCCAGACGAGAGATCTCTCTCCCCCGTCTGTGTGTGAGGGGGCGGAGCAGTTTACACACGTGGCTGCTACATGCATGCCACACACACACACACACACACACACACACACACACACACACACACACACACACACACACACACACACACACACACACACACACACACACACACACACACACACACACACGGCAGACTCACGTTGCCCCTGCGGGCGACTAAGTGCACCGTGTTGGCTACCCTTGCTCTAGAACAGTGCTTCTCAAACTTTTTTCAGTAGTGTACCCCCTTTGAAACATTTTCTCAGCCAAGTACCCCCTGACCGATCCCGAACATTTTTGATCGAAAAAGCCTATATGAATAATTACAATATAGTGATGTTCCCTCAGTGTGTGATGTATTAACTCCTTCGTGGTATGCATTACAACAAACTAAGGATATTTTCATTTTATGCATGAAAAAAAACAACATAACACTTTTATAAAACAGATTTTTCCAAGGAGTTTTTCAATTTAAGTAATATGTTATTGTGAAAAACTATAAAATACAATACACACATTTGACATGTTTATATGAGGACCCCCTTGGTGGTTCTAGGAATGTTTTATATAAAATTGTGTTTTCTATTTAACTTATTTTACTAAGATTATTTTTTTAATTAACCTTTTTTTTTTATTTTAATTTTTTTAAATCTCACGTACCCCCTGCAGTACCCCAACGTACCCCCAGGGGTCCGCGTACCCCCATTTGAGAATCACTGCTCTAGAAGAACCGTTAGGCCTTTTGCAGCATACCTGTATGCCCCAACTGTGTTGCTCTGTACCACTGTATTTTTGCAGTAAATACTTTTTTTTTTTACAATTATTTACAATTTTGTTTAGTTAATTAGCCTTTTTTTTCTCTCAAAAGAACCGATAAGATTACCGTTAAAGGACCGGATCGATAAGCGCTATCGATAAAAGTAGTAGTACCGTTAAAACGATAAAATGTTACCTTAGTAACCCAGATTCGTGTATGCTTTATGTTGATATTTAATAATATTTCAAATAGGTGCAGCATGCACAAAATGTATTTGGACAAGTAAATTGCAAAACTCACTTGTCCATGGACAAGTACTCTCTAAACACTTTTACACTTACACTGTAGTACAAGGGTTTTATCCAAATTCAACACAAAATGCTTCTTTAATGACTACTACAGTCTCAAAATTATTCGACCCCTTCATGACAAGCATCTTTAGTACTCTGTAGAGCACCCTTTTCTGTTATGACCTGCTGCGAAGGTGATCCATAGCCAGACACCAACTTCTGACAGCGTTCCTGTGAAATCTTAGCCCATTCCTCATGGGCAATAGCCTCCAGTTCAGTAATATTCTTGGGTGTGCGTTTTGCAACCGCCTTCTTCAAATCCCACCAGAGATTTTCTATCAGGTTCAAGTCAGGTGACTGTGACGACCACTCTAGAATCTTCAATTTCTTCTTCTTAAACCGAGCCTTGGTGGACTTGAGGTATGCTTGGGATCATTGTCCTGTTGGTGAGTCCAATGACTTTCTAGTGCCAGAAGCAGCAAAGCATATGCTTCATTCTTCTTCCTCCAGACATACTGCTGATCCATCTCCCGAAGAGTTCCAGTTTTGTTTCATCGGTCCACAGAACAGTATTCCAAAACTTCTGTGGCATATTTATATGGTTTTGAGCCTATTGGAGCCGACTTTTCTTGTGCTTTTTGGGTTAGTAGTGGTGTACGTCTTGGAGTGGGCATGGAGCCCTTCAGTGTGCCTGCTGCCACCAAGTCTTGCTGCAGGTGTTTTGAAGTCACTCAAGGTTTTTTTTACCTCTTGCCTCCTCAGGAATCTGCTAGCAGCCGCTGATAGCTTCTTCTTTCTGCCACGTCCAGGTAGTGTAGCAACTATTGCTTTAACTTTGAACTTGCAAACTATGCTTCCAACTAGGGATGCTCCAATCAGGGTTTTTGGGGCCGATCACCGGAATCAGAATCGGCTGATACCGATCCGATCATCATCTATGGGGATCTTCCATTTAAAGTGTTGTATTGTGTAGCAGAGTTTCCGTTAGCCGGTAATTACCGGACTATGACCGGTAATATGCTGAAGTTTAAAACTCAGTTAATGGGGCTCATTTTTATATTGCTTCAGTTTATAATCGTAACGGATCGAAAAGTTCAGATGAATTTTTCACTAAATGATGCGCTTCCACAAACAACATAATTATTACATTCAAATGATGTACATTATTCAAGTTTACATTAACTTTGGATAATAACACGGGAGAAATGAGTGGAAGCGCTCTGTTTTCCTCTCTCCCTCTCTCTCTCCCTCTCTCTCTCCCCCTCCCCCTCTCTCTCCTGACAGCCCGTCAGTATCTCATGCAGCTCACTGATCCAGTAATGAGTGACCCGACAGTGAAGAATAAACATATTTATAATGAGTTTAGCTAGTTCCAAAGGTAGATATAATAGCGTGTTAGGTCTAACTTGAAGTGTGTGTTTCGCTCCGCTCACCGGTCCGTCACAGCGGGCGGAGCTGCAGGATTTCTGCTTCACACACACGTTGCATACCGCTATTTTATTGTCTTTTTTGGACACCTTCAAAAACTGCCAGACTGGTGAAGCCATTTTGGCGAGCTTGTTTTGCCGCGCACAGAGAAAAGTGTCATGTATTTTACGTCATCTGATCGGCTCTCCTTTATAGAGAGCACCGATCACACTATTAAAAGGGAATATCGGCCGATAACGATCTGCGGCCGATCGATCAGAGCGTCCCTACTTCCAACTTTTTTCTCTAGGAACATTCAGTGCTTTGACTATCTTTTTGTATCCTTTTCCTTGTTTGTGCAAGGTAATGATCTCTTCTCTGAACTTTTTGGACACTTCTTTTGACTTAGCCATATTTCTAACATGCAATCAAACGTCACTCACCAAACCTCTAGCCAGAACAGGTATTTATGTGTTCCATCTTAAGCACACCTGATCTAATGAAGCCCTTGATTAGTTGCACCGAGTGTGGTTGAGACAGGGTGTTGAATAATTTTGAGATTGCAGTAGTCGTTAAAAGTAGCATTTTGTGTTGAATTTGGATAAAAACCCGTGTTAGTTTTTTTGAACTACTTAAACAGTCCTTGTGTAATTTTGTTTATTGCAAACAGCTGAGAAATTGTATATTTTGCCAATAAACCTAATGTGCAATTGGGGTTGAATAATTTTGATTGCCACTGCTAGATTAAAAATGTTACAGAGGTCATTAGAAAAAGGTTTTATGACACAAGGTCTTTTTCACTAGTTTTCTCATTCTTATTTATCAGGTGAAATCTTTCATATCATATTATATACAGTACATTATCACCAAATCATTTATACTACAAATGGACCACTCCATGTCCCGCTTGGAAAGCAGTCTGTGTTTGTTTAGTTTGAGTTTTTTTTTTGCCGCACTAACCTAAATAAAACATGTTAGGTTTGAAAGTGCCCTTATAATAATAATAATAATAATAATAATAATAACAACTTGAATTTATATAGCGCCTTTTCATAACCTCAAGGTCGCTTTACAAAGAAACATACCGGGAGCCAGTGGAGGTTGAATAGAGTGGGGGTGATGTGCTCCCAGGGCTTGGTGCGTGTGAGAACCCTGGCAGCTGAGTTCTGTATGTACTGGAGCCTGTTCAGGGTTTTGCTGGGAACCCCGGACAGGAGTCCATTACAATAGTCCAGGCGTGAGGTAATGAAACAATGTATCAGCTTCTCAGTAACAGAGTCGGACAGTGATGGCCGGAGTCTTGAAATATTTCTGAGGTGGAAGAAGGCTGATTTTGAAACGGATTTGATGTGGTTTTGAAATGAGAGGGTTGAATCCAAGACAACACCAAGGTTGCGGACCTGAGGGGATGGGGAGATGATGGAACCGTCAATGTTGAGGAGCAGATCTCCAACCTTCCCGAGCAGTGCCTTGGGGGCCACAACCATGAGCTCAGTTTTATCACTGTTTAGTTTGAGTAGGTTGGTGGTTATCCAGGTTTTAATTTCGTGTAGGCAGTTGATTAGTGACTGAGGGGGGAGATGGGCAGAAGGTTTTGTGCTGATGTACAGTTGGGTGTCGTCGGCATAGGAGTGGAAACAGAGACCATGGCTGCGGATGATATCACCAATCGGAAGGATGTATATTGTGAATAGAAGGGGACTGAGTCTGTCCCTTTTTTTTAAACTGAGTAAATGTTTTTATCATGGATTTTATGGCAGATTTGTGACAGAACACTTGGTTGGGGTATGCAGTAGATTATTATTTTGTTATTTTCACAAATCATGTAAGGAATTTTTTTTTTATTGTTATTCATTTTTCAGTTTAATCCCTGGCACCCAAAAAATCTGGATGAAAACGTGGGGCTGCAGTCATAACAACTCGGATGGAGAGTACATGGCCGGACAGTTAGCTGCCAGCGGATACAAGATGACAGGTAAGAGATAATTAATTATCTTGGTTTGTATTAACTCCATTGACTAGGGTCATTTCATAACAATACAGAGGGCGGAGGTGGCGAAGTCCATAGGGACTTGGCTTGGCAACTGGAAGGTCACCAGTTCAAGTCCCGGAAAGACCAAGTGCTGCCGAGGTGTCCCTGAGCAAGGCACCGTTCCATACACTGCTATGCATTATGTACATAATGGCAGCCCACTGCTCCTAGGATGGGTCAAATGCAGACAAACCGTTTCGTTACATAGTACCTGTACTACGTAATGACAATTCTTCTTCTTCTAGTAGGGGGCATTTGAAGAGTGCAGATGTTCCCCACTGCAGTTTCCATAATGTTGGTATTTGCCCTCGGCCACACGAGGACAATAACGGTAAAACGCATAAGCAATCGCAAAAAAAGGCTTCCGTCCACACGCAATAGACACCGGAAAGTTTCTGTCCACACGAGACCGCTCCGTTTAGCTCCAACCGCTGGAGAAGCTGCAGTACATATGCAGGAGCCTGTACGTGGCGCTGTAACATCCTCCACAAAAGCAGCGAAGAACCATGGTTGTCATGGTTGCCCTTCTGTTTATTCTCCGCGGTGGGGGCCGAGGGAACCGGGCAGAGTTTTTCGCCAGTCAACGTGTATTAAAGTTTAAATCTTCCGGACAAAATTATAAAAGTGCCGGTCAAAGGTCTTCTTTGTTATTTATTGAGCTTTAAAACAAATGAATAACGACTCTATATAATACAATAATAAAATACACGGAGCCTCCCTCTCTTCGGACAGCGCCAGTGTCTGTTTCATGCAGCAGCTGATCCAGTAATGAGTGACCTGGCCGACAGTAAAAATAAACATATTTATATCTAGTTTAGGTAGTTTGCGAGGTAATTAAAATAGCTAAGGGTGATGATCTGACTTGAAGTGTGTGTTTTTCTCCATTCACCGCTACATCACAGCGGGAGGAGCTGCAGGTGAGCAGAGCTGCGTGTCTTCGTCCTGTCAGATTAGACTTCACTCGCGTTTATGTCCATATCGAGAGAAAGATAAATAATCTGAATTCAGTGTGCAGTTTACTTTGACGCGGGGGTGAGCAGCAGAGGTGGGGAGAGGCGGGGCTATTGCCTCATCATTATCAGAAAATGATCGTATAGGGCGCACACACGGAGCCGTTGGACCCCCCAGAGCGTTGCGTATGCCGTTCTATCCACCTTGGGACCGTTATCTTTACCGTAGTCGTTTAGTGCCATATTGTGTCGTCCTAGTGTGGCCGAATGGTCTATATGACACAAAACGGTAACGGAAATGACCGTTATCGTCCTCGTGTGGCCGGGGCCTAAGATCCTCTTCAAAATGCATTGGATCTTTCATCTGAATGAAAATCGCACCAGTAGTTGATAATAAACTTAATACAAAAAGTAAGGACATTTGTGTTAGGTAGATTATTTCTTTGTTGTATCAATGCTTTTTGGCAATATATCTTATACCGTTTTCTTACCTTTCACATGGTGCCACATTTGTGAGGTATATGCATTTGTGGGAAGAGCAGCAGAGCTGAGTAAGTTGGTTGCGCCCATGAAAATGTGACAAATCTCCTCTGCCGATGCCAAACAGCATTTTTTTGCTGTTGACTCTTGTTTGGTGATGTTTGGTGGATTGGATGATTGAAGTCGGATGAAACAAGACATATTGGCAACAATTTATTTATTAACAATTTATTCGTTTAACAAGCAGCCTCAGTAGCGTGTGGACAGCCTCTCCTCCTCATGCTGGTCACCAGCCTGGTCACACACTGCTGTGGGTTAGCATCCCATTCTTCAACCAGAATTTGTCCAACGTCAGCCAACGTGGTTGTGTTGGTCACTCTGGCACGGACAGCAGGGCCAAGTTGATCCCAAAAGTTTTCAATGGGGTTGAGTTCAAGACTGCAGGCCATCCCATCCTCTCCTCTCTTACTCTATCGGTGCAGCAATCAGCAAAGCGTTCTCCACGTCCTCTCCACACTGTGACCCTACAATCCATGTGCCGTAAGCAGAATCTGGACTCATCGCTGAACATAATGTTCCTCCACATGTTGAGGTTCCAGTGCAAGTGGGCCTGAAGGTGAAGGGCAGTCGTGGCAGGCTCTTGACAGCCGTACGAGACCGGAGATTGGCTGCTGTTTGGCATCGGCAGAGGAGATTTTTCACATTTTTCATGGGCGGAAACCCACCCACTCAGCTCTGCTGCTCATCCCACAAAAGCTTGTTCCTCACAAATGTGGCACCATTTGAAAGGTAAGAAAACAGGCTTTCAAACGGTATAAGATGTATTGCCAAGAAGCATTGTTACAACAAATTAATAATCAACCAAACAAAGATTTCCTTACTTTTTGTGTTAAGTCTACATCCTCCTTTGCGGAGGTAATTACAATAATTGTCATATGCTACTTCTAATATTTAATAATAGTTACAAACTACTAATACTAAGAATGGTGGCTGTGTTTTAGTCAGATGGACTGAAGGTATCAAAAGGAACATCTGAAATGGTAGTATCATTATTTAACACAAGGGGGCAGTCTTGTTCTTTAAGTAAACTACCTTTTGTGTTATTCCAGAGGGAATTTGATATGCCCTGAATTAAGCTTCTCAGGCTGTCTTCTGGCCTCAACAAACTTTCCAAAGCACTATATTCGTTTAAACAGAGTTTTAACACATTTTGGACAATGTATGGAGTTTGCCTATCCTTTTTGAACCAGGTGGAATTTGTCCCCTATCCTCAAAAGTCCACTGAGAACCAGCCTAACCTTGTATCTTTACCATAACCTAAACCTTAATGAGGAGTGAATTCCTGATGTGGGTTCAGTTGAGAAAGCGCAGTGGAAAACAACAAGGGAACATTGTGACTGCATGCCACTATAGCTGGTTACCCTGTAAACTATATGTGTGTGAAATGTTGTGTTAATAAAATTCAGCCATAAAGAGGGGAAGTTCTAGTACCAGGATGTGTGTCATTAGTCGGGTATTAATATTAACCCCTCCGGCGTTTCTCTCACACTGCGGTCTCAACAGCCATAGGGGGACATTAATCACACACGTCAAAAATGCAGATGTACTCTGCATGTGTAGAGCGAGCGAGAGAGAAGTTGAGCGAGCGTAGTCAGTTTATGGAAGTTAACGGGAGTAGCAGCAGTATATCAAAGTCACAAATATAAACAACGGCCTCCCAACAACATTGAATGTTGGATTCCACTTACCGCCATCTTACTTACATGGCAAAAGCTCCTCCCCCCGCGAATAACTTTTTAAAAAAAAGACGCTAACGTGACTTCTCCCGGTAACCGAGGAAAACATCTGCCGATGTCTCACCGTATCGGTACATCCCTAGTCAAAGAAAATAGCTCACAGTTGTACTAGTTTTTTTTAATGGCTTTCAGGCTGCCCTTGCATATCATTTGCATGTTTTTCATATTTGATTGGTGCGTCTGCCTGTAGATGTGTGTGTGTTGACCTTACTAACACCGAGATTAACATTGTATATGTCTGACACTGCTCTGATGCTGCAGTCTGTGTGTGTGTGTGTGTGTGTGTGTGTATCTTTCACACCTTGTTTGATTCGGAGTGTGCACATTGCAAAGTCATAAAAACATGACCACTGTTGACAAGGTTACAATTAGGGCTAGGTATGTAAATGTTTACTAATTACATACCCTCACAAGCAATCCATTTTTATTAGTTGAGTGTATGTTTCACTGACTGTGTGTTTCCTTCAGGTAAAAGCTTAGCAAAGGAACAGTCCCCTTTTATCTACCACTTCAATTAATATGGTTTTACTCCAGCATGTAGCTGAGAGATGCCTACACCTTTCACAGATGAAGCTTCAGAAAACTCTCCCGGTCTCTCTCCCTCCTTCAGCCTTGTTGTCTCTTTCTCTCTCACTCCCCTCTCCACAAAGTACTTTAAAGGTCAATGTCTCACCACTAAAGCTAAAGGATTAGTTTGGTTTCTTTCTTCCTCTCTCTACTTTTTATCTGTGTCTTTCCCCTTTGTTTGCTTTCTGGTCTTTTCTACAGTTTCGTCCTGCATCACTTATTGGTTTTTCTTTCCATCTCCCCCTCTCCCTCTTAGGGTGCATGTATCTTCACCTATTGTTTTTCACTTTGACGTTGTTGGAAGGATAAATTGCTTGTCATGGCCAGAATCATGTGAGATTACACTCGGGAGAGGCGGTCATTGTTTTGAATGGTATAGAATGCAATGCAATTGTCTAGAATGGCATGAAATTGTTGAGAATGCTTTGAAGAGAGTGGAATAGTCTGGAATGACAAGGTCTGAACTGGGCTCGTGAAGGATGTAGTGTTTAGTCTTTGGCCAAACAGAACAGAAGGACATAGAGCAGGTGTAAAATTATCCTTTGTGACTCAGAATGTCATGTCCTTCATGTGGATATCAGACCAATACCTCTGTAGCGTGTTATCCATATCCGCAGTGTTGATCCGCAGTGTTCAATGAAGGAGTTTGGTCTGCTTGTAGTGCTCTGAAAAAATGACATCATCCTTTCTGCTTTACTGCTTACTCTCATTCACACTCCCTGCCCTCCCCTGTCCCTCTTCAATCTCCCTCGCAAACTCTTTCTCTCTTTTCTTTCTTAAACTATGACATCACCTTGTGTAAGCCGTAGTAGCAGTACTTGTGGTGTCCTCTAGGTGGCAGCCTTGGCTGGTTGAAAGAGCTTTTTGTTGAAAGAAAACATCTTTGCAATACTAGGATGAGGTCATCCTTCTGAAAAACACTGTATTCTCATTCATAGTTCTAAAAGTTGTGACTTTCTTTCTTTTAGGGTGACATGTAATGTTTAAACTCCTGTTGCTTGCCAGTTGGGTTGATCACTAAGCAGACAGTTCATTTATTCAGTCATAACATATCTTGGTTATTTAGAATTCTGAACAACTTGAAAAGATACTGTCAGCGCCTTCCCCTTTTTGAATTTTTGTCTTGTGCTGTTTTACTACAATGAAACAA